ATTGATGATGCCGCCCACAGAGCGGGACACAATGCAGTGGCAATTCACCTGCACCCGAGTAAGAACCGAGCAGACGAGAACCGAGTAGAGCCGCACTTAGCAATGGAAAAACACCTAGTAAGACACAGTCTCACTATTAAAGTGCCACTGAGTGGGTTTTGCATTTATAAGATGAAAAGCTTTTTTAAATGGCCTAAAGGGACTAAGTTCAATACAAACAAGCTGCGGGTTGTAAAAACATCATATGAGGAAGGACAACAAAGCAGTGGTCAGTTACCTGCACTATTCATATTGGCTCAGAGCCCTTTCACACTCGCTACTGGGGCATGTGCGTCATTACCAGTATTTTACTAAGTATTTTGTTCCCTGCAAACTCTACATTTTTCTTACAAGAAAATCAAAGTACAAAAACTACAGATTTATAGTTGAGCAGTCATAACTTAACCACTAGTCAGATTGGCTGAGAGATGTTTTAAGATGGTATAAAAACCTCACTGTACCTTGCTTGAGCCCCAGGATCCACATGGTGTCCAGGGCATCAATGAGTGTCAGGCCCAGACCGAACCACTCACTGTAYGTTTTGGAGATGGGTCTAAGCTCGTCATGGCCCCAAGCAAAGTCTTTATAACCTTTCCAAGCGTGTCTAAAAGCTTCCCGCACTGCCTCCATCCGGTTAGTTTCTAGAAAACACAGTTCATAAGATGCCAGTTTATGACTGTGTTTGAGTTTCAGAGCGATTCCAAAATGTTCCACTGATCTAAAAGGACAGTAACTTAACACAGAGAGCTACGCTCAAACTGCAGGCCAAAGTGACACAAAGTTTTGTTTTTTTTCCCCAGATGGGAGTCAAATTTTTTTTATGACAGTCTACCGGTAATTTTTAAAAATATGACCCAGGTCTTTGTCATCTGTGGTAATGTGACGTCAGTCTGTACGGTCATGTTCTCAGTGAGGTGGTACAGATCAGTCCAGGTGCTGTTATTGACACCAACATCCTGCAGTTTAAAGCTCAGAACTCAGCTTCAGCTACAGAACAGAAGTCCAGCTGCTTCTCRTCTTCTTTTTGTCAGGACCTGGATGAACTAACATCAACACATGATGCTCTAGAAGTGACATTCTGCTCCTGAGCAGGCAGGAAGATCAAAAGGAAACATTGGACCAACCAATCAGAGCAGATATTAATTTAATCAGTTCTGATTGGACAACTAGAAAATGGATCCACACATGCTAACATGCTAACATCCACATTTCCTTCTGTAAGCACAGCGTGCTGCTTCAGGACCGTGAGTCTGATGGAGGTCCACTTTAAACTAAGGTGTCCATGACCACACAGAAACATCTGATCTCAGCATTAAGACCTGCAGAATGAACGTAGCCTTTCATATATTATAATAGTTGGAAAATGTGAAGCTAGCTTTTGTGTTTTGTCAAATAAATTTATAGCAAATACCTAAATCTTCTTTAAAACTGTCACCCTGATTGGCAGGTGAATCCTCCTTGTTTTCCTCATTCTTGGAGACGTCTGTGACCTGGTCAGTGTCGATCACTGCCCCACGCCAGCTGTACGCCATCAGAACATGACCACAAGTACACAGACAGATAAAAACAGAAGTTAACCTATRGTTAGACTGTATTTTGTAAAGTAGGAATGATTTTATTAAGTCAAGATATGACAACATGTTCTGAAAGAAGAGTGGGAAAGTGAACTTGGCTGAACATTCAGAGAAAACGTTTTTGCATGAATTTGACTTGTACTATTGTACTTGTCCAATTACTTTTGAGCCCCTGAAATGAAAGGTTTGTTTTTAAAACATGTTTTAGTTCATCACGTTTCTACTCTTACCTGATGACTACACCTTGTTCTACCTCCTTCRTGCTGTCAGCTGCAGCATCTGATGCATTTGCTTTCTTCTGAAGATGGTTCTGAAGGACAGGAGGTCCTCTCTTATTGGACAATTTCCTCTGTGACAAATGGCAACAAGAAATTAAAGACAAAAAAAGAAAGGACAACAATTAGCACACTTAAAAAAACAAGGTGTTAAACAGAAAATCCACGTTATAAATAATTTATTTATTTTGACTTTTTATTAATTTTTAACACAACAGAGCTCCCCGGAACTATTTGCTTTAATAACTTTAGTGAACGTGTTGTAAACCTCTTGTTCAGATAAATTATTGTTTATATGGTGAAATTACAAATTAACATTATGCAGCTTTTAGTTTTAGAATAAAAAAACAGATTGCATGTCTACAAAATGTACTTGAACACTGCTGGGAACCAAGAGAATCCCAAGGAAACAAATGTATAATCAAGAGAAGACAATATTCAGGTTCCCACTAATGTGATCARATTAAACCCAACTCTAAGCTGCTTCATTAATTCTGCATGGAAATTTGGGTGGGGTGGGGGATGGGTCTGTAGAATAATGTATTACAATGAGGACAATACTTTAAAAAGTCAAAGGTCAATTATTTTTCACAGGTCTATGTAAACACTGTAACAGTTTAAAAGTGGACTTTTTCTGTGATAATATAAAAGTGTTTAAAACATGTTATTCTAAATAAATGTAATACTTGAATATTAATTAGAAGTGAGAAAAAAAATCTAGTTTTAACTCGTCATTACTCTGAGAAAAAGCGCTGTACAAATTTGAAAATTTCCACGAGTAAAAGCCAATCTCTTCTCTCACTCACAGTTCAAGAATTATTTCAATAGACCTTATAGGTTTTACACAGCGGCCTCCTGTCTGAATTTAACTTTTCAGAGGTTTTCTCATGTTGAAAGTGAGGCACTGAGCTGCGGCTCTGCCCCTCCCTGTAATGACATCACAGTCAGGCCTTCTGATTGGCTGACGCTGTTACTGGGCTGAGTGGCCTCTGAAGTCACAAAACAAAGGGACTTTGTGTAAATCATCATGGCACCCAAATTGCTCAGCAYTTTCAAGACATATAAAGCTGAAATTTGGTGGATTGATAACAGAGCTAACTCAACATATTCTGAATGCCAATCACAAGTTTAAGCTAAGCGCTAACGCTAATTTTTAAAAAAAGGCTCTAATTCATCCATTTTGAGACTTACAGAGCAGAAAACTGGTACAGTAGTAGCCAAGAATAAGCTTTGACAAATTCTGAATGCTAAAGAAAATTTCAAGATGGCTGCCAGAGCTAATTTTAAACTGCAATAACTTGTTTATTTTAAAAATTTTGTGCTAAAATTTGGTGTGGTGGTGACTAAGAAAGGTCTCCATCACATCCTGGAGCCAAATCAAAAATACAAGATGGCAGCCATAGCTAAAATGCAAAATTGATTATAACTCAACTATTTTTAGACATTTGGCTCAAATTTGGGATGGTGGTAGTTCACAGTGATCTCCAACAAACTGTAAATTCAAATCTTTATTTAAATTGGACAGAACATGACAAACCCTTTCATAGTTTCTCCAGGAACTAATCTAGCATATTTTTAATCTTCACTAATACAGTACGCCACTGAATTTCTGAAATTCTCTTTGAAGTTCAGGATAAAGTGGTGGCAATCTTACATTTGGTCTATCACTATTAGATCTCTGAACCTGAGAGGGCTGTTCTCGTAGCTGTTTGACAGGTTCTGGCAGCACAGGAGGTTTGAAGGGTCTCAGGAGGTCGTTTCTCTCTTTGTTTTGTTCCCTTTCTGAAAAAACACAAAACAGAGGCAGTATTACATGTGAGTAGYGTCATTTACCTGAATTCAGGTGTGACCATGGATTTAAAACATCAAACTCATCATTCAGTCGCCAGCTCCAGTCCAGCATGTTCAATATTTTCACTAGCTCCGAGTCACATGACATGACCTTACCTCTGAGGTGTTTGGTAACTGTGGGATAGAAAGCAACTCCACAGATGAAGAGGAGGAGAAGCAAGAAGAGGATGAGACTCCGCTGTAGCCTGGACAGCTGCTTCCATCTCTGAATGTGCAGTGAGACACACATCATCAGCTCAGAATGACAGGTTTTAATGATGTGCAGTTTTTTATAAGTTGGACATGTGACACGACTGACAGTGACATCCAAACTGGTGAATATCCTGACGTTCCTTCAGAGTGAGGATGGAGATACAGCCAGATGCAGTCAAACAGCCTGTAAACCTCCACTTATTCCTGTTATGTCTTTGTAAGTCATTTGGGAATTAGACTAGTGCATCATAAAATATGTGTACTGGCTAAAAAATTACATGACCTCATTCCCAATACACAAATAAAACATTAGAAAAGTCCATCAAGATTCATCACTCAGATTATCCAGTCAGATAGGACTAAAGTCAGATGTGAGACGTAGAAACACAGAACCTGACACTTTACCTTATCTGTGATTTACTTTATTCTGAGAGAAAGAGTATTGGACAAAAATTATCATAAACAAGACAAAAACAAGGATTAATGTTTGTGAGACATATTTAGGAGATGCATTTCTACTTACCCTCCAGAAGGAATGCCTTCTCCACTGCTTGTTGTTGTTGTAACTTCCACTTAGTGGTCCTGAAACATTTATAGACACATAGCCCGGTCGGGACAGAGGGTGCATGTCTGGACAAAGCCCTGGAGGAAACCAATATAATCTCAGTGATTCTTAAAACTTTGGCTAACACAGGTTTTAATTTTGATTTTAAATTTTTTTATCAAACAACAGAATCTGAAGATATATCATTGTACACTAAGGTTTTGGCTATTCAGCAATGTAATGTGCAACCTCCCCATGTTTTTTTCTTTTACAAAATAGCCCTTTTTTAAGTTATTACTTGTTTTTTTTCAACACCCTCAGACACAATAAAAAGCAAATAAAATTGTATTTATTTGGTTTAATACATATTTAGGTTTTCAAATATTATCTGGCAATCTTAGTACATATACACTCACCAGCCACTTTATTAAGTACACCTGTCCAACTGCTCGTTAACACTTAATTTCTAATCAGCCAATCAC